GGTAGTGGTTTCCTTTTTCATATGTTGATGCATAAAATCCCAATGAAAAATTGTTACAGGCTTTATATTTGAGAAGAGTCCTTTATTTGTTGGTTTGGTCAAATCTGTACATATGTCTGTATCTAGTCAAGTAAGCTTAGGTTGTTACAGTCTGTGTACTATTCCGTGTTATATGAGGTTCACTGGAGACTGAAGGGTCTCTCAGTGGAAGGAGATATCCCTTTCCTATAAGGCATCCTGTGGATAATAAAAAAAAAGAGCTCTTTGGAAAAAGAGAAAGAGAATGAGACTTTCATGAGCTTTTCTTTTGCAATGCCACCTTGTGGTCATTAGCAAAAATTTAAATGCAATGTCAGTTGGTATCTTCTGTCTTCTTAATTCCTGTTCTTTTATTGTTCTCTCTCCTTAATAGAGTTTTTTTTTTTTTTTTCATATTCTCTAACACTCAGTAACCCCTTGCATCTTAGTGGTCTTATTGCCTAGCATGAGGTGAAATGGCTTTAAAAAAATGTGTGAAAGTGAATGCAACAGACTATGGGAAATTTGAATTTTGTAGACTGGGAACCATTCATATCTAAGTACAGAAGCAAATAAGTATATAAGTTGGTAGGTGTTGTAACCTAGAAAAGGTTACTGTATGAGGAATAACCAAAACAGAGGTTGGAAATGAAATGGTAATCTTTATAACATCAACAAAATACAATACTCACCAAGCGGCATGAAGTAGGTAAACCACTGCTAGTGGTGGACTACTTGGACAGCATATTACCCCCCACTTACAATAGTGTCCAACGTATTTATGAGGATTGGTACATACCCATTAGTGTTCATCGGTATGGTATATAACAGTAGGTATTTTGAACAAAAGGAAGTAAAAGGATTATTATTTTGGTTGCAATTGTTACTTATATAAATATATATATTGTGGAGTGGTTGACATGTATAGAAACATTAGAGTATAACAATTCCATACAATTAACAGCAACTTATTTTATTGCCTGAGCAAAACTAAATATGAAAAATACAAAAGAGGTGAATGAAGGTGCTTAGGTAGGGGTTTGCTTTTTCATATGTACATGTGTGAAATCCTGATTAAAAAATTATGACAGACTTTATATTTAAGAGTTCTTTGGTAGAATTATTAGACATGCCTGTATTTAGTCAAGTATGCTTAGGGCATTTGTATACTGTGTACTATTGTATTCAATGAGACCCAGTGTTTGCTGGTAATCAAAGGGTTCCCCAGAGGAGAAATGAGGCATATTGAATGTCTAAGGCATCATATGTCTAAAAAAAGAGAGAGAATCTGTTGCACTCTTTTCTCATATATTGCTATTGGCAACAACATTTAGCAGTTGTTAGCACAAGTTCTTTGGCAGAAAAGTGGGATAATTCCATAAGGCATTTTTGCAGAAAGGTGTGCATGGTAGAAAAAAAATCTATTTTAAATTGAAGTGATAGAGATATGGTTCTAACAATGGTATTGGTAATATTAGCCAAGGAAACATTTGGCATTCATTGACCAAGCAGCCAGTACTGCTTTCAGTTGAAATTTATAAAAATAATTTTTCAAGGAAAACAGGTTTTACAAGTGCAGTAGCTTTTATCCCTCTTTCTAGTATTGATTGGGATTTCTTTTCTAACTTTTTGTTTGAAGTAGTGTGGAATGTCAACATTATGATTATATCATTATTCTCTCTTCGAGATACATGTGATATCCATTTTAGTTGCTCCCACTTTTGGTAGCCCTCAAGGGATGTGGTTTCTGTTATTTGTTCCAGTTCTTTGTGAATTGTAGAACCAGTCATCTTTCTTTGAACACTGTTCACATTGAAACACCAATTCCAATGTAATCCTTGAAGTTAAGCTAGATGGGTGGCCACTTGGGAATACCAATGCTGTAAGCCTGGATGTGCAAGTAGTGTAATGGATAATAGCTCAGTATTGTTAATCAGAGAACCAAGTTCCAATTCCCGTTGGGTTCATGATATTCACTTATGCACAAATACCCTTGGGAAAGGTAGGAATCCACCGTTTCTCCCCCAGTTATAGGTTAAATAGTAAGACTTATATTACTGAATTACTATTATCTCCCAAAAAATTCTTATGACCTAAAATATATATTCTGGCTTTAAATAATCTGCAAATGGTTGATAAACCATAAAAAACAAATAAATCAGTCAACTGAACACTGGGATGTTCAAAGAAGGATGATTATTACCAAGGCCCTACTTGCTCAAAGCCAGTTTCCACCATTAAAATTAGTAAGCACACAGTTTAGATATTTTTGAACAGTCTTCTTACCATACATGACATCCATATGAACGTCTTTATCTGGCAAGGCTATTTAAGAACATTACTCCAGTTTCTAGGTTGATGTTTTGGTTTGATAATAATTTGCAGTGTTGGACGAAACAACCTCAGGCACAGTTTATTCTATGTTCAATTTCTTTTTCTCCTATGAATGCCTGGAATACCATAGACAGGGTTTGTGAGCAATGAAGAATTAAGAAGAATAGGAAATCCAAAAGCAATACTTACAAACAGAAAGAGAAAACTAAAATATCTGGGACAACTTAACCCATTACCTGCCATGAGCCCCATTTGGCGATCTGTTAAAATTAAACTCACTACATATTATTCCTTGTATTTACATTGAATTGCTTACATACATTGCATTTGCAGAGGTATATTTTACAACACTTAGCCTTTAAAGTTTTTATTATTAGCCATAAGAAGACACTTTCTGTCGTAATTTTACATTTCACAATTAGAAAAATAATGACTATTTTGAAAAGTATTTTTTTATTATTTCTAATCAATATTATTTTTTTGATGTTTTATACACATATATATTTGATGTTCTAGTTTCTATAAAACTGACAATGGTAACTACTGAAATTAAGCATAAGGAATAAATAACCTCCTAAGACACCTGTCTGGGCCAAAAATGCGCATTAAAAAAATTTAGCAGTTAATGGGTTAATGAAGAAAGAAGGCCTGGAGAATTAAACAGTCACAGGAGAGTGAAGGCATTAGAAGCAGAGGGGAAGAGTAAGTAATGAACTTAAAGAATTTTTATGAATTGATAGCAGGACAAGCACAGAGAGGAATGGTAAAGGGTCAAAGATTACATAGAGCAATAAAAGACATGAAGTAGTAAAGAGCCTCAGTCGCTCAAGTACTGAAAGTATATGGTAAATAAATGTTGTACTTGTAGTGACAGTAGTAATAGCTAAAGTAGTGGAGGCAGTAATTTAAAAATGCTTGAAGGGAAGAAAGAAAATGTGAATAAATATTGACAACTGTATTGCAGGAAGAGTATGTAATATAGCAATTGTATGAAAAGAAGAAAAATTTTAAGGGAAAGAAAAAAATTAAATTTAAGAGAAAAAAAATTTAAAAATTTAAGTTGGTGAAATAAAACTTTAAAGAAAATATTTGGAATTTAAAGGAAAGAAAAAAACATTTAAATTTAAGAGAGAAAAATTTAGGAAAAAGAAGAAAAATTAAAATTTAAGTGAAAGAAAAAATTAAATTTAAGGGAAAGAAAGAATTTTTTTAAAGAACTTTAAAGAATTTTTTTCTTTTTCTTAAATTTAAAAAAAAAATATTTCCCTTAAATTTAAAAGAAAAACATTTTAAATTTAAGAGAAAGAAAATATTCCTTTTAAATCTAAGAGAAAGAAAAAAATATTCAATGGCATGTAAAGGGAATTATGGGTTGAGGATGATGATGATCTATATAATAAATGCTAATGTCAGTGTGTCACACTTTTGCAATTAAAGGGACACAACTCTCAGTAGCTCATTTCCTTCTATATAATAAATGCTAATGTCAGTATGTCACTGTGTCACACTTTTCCCACTTTTCTTCTAGAGGTCATAGCCCAACATATCATACCATTTCGGATCAGGCTGACTCTATGAGCAAATTAAAAACATTGTGATCTGGATCCACAATACTGAAATTTTGGATTCCCAAGTTTTCATTGGTTTTGGATTCTGCCATCTTGGCTTCCACTGATAAAAACAATTAAAGGGACATAACTCTCTAACTTTGAATAGCTTGTGTTCAAATGAAAAAATTATTGTTCTCAAATTACAGTGTTTCAAAATGAAATTGTCCATGTTTTCAACTTTACTCCTAGAGGCTGTAGCCCAACATTTTATACCATTTTGAAATCGGGCCGTCTCCATGAGCATATTAAAAACATTCCAGGCCAGATCCAGACCCACAATCCTGAAATTTTGGATTCACAAGTTTTCATTATTGTGATTGTTTCTGGTAATTTTTTTACATGATTTTTGTGATAAATTTTTTGGATGATAACAATTTTTTTGACTTGGAAATAAATTTGGGAATAATTGAAATTAATTGCGAAATCCAGTGAAAGTTATCCATGAAATAAAAATAATTGTTTGTATGGAAAGTAAGGACCTATGTACATCAAATTGTCTTTAAATTAAGTGGTAGTGAACTTTTAAAAGGTAAGCTTAAATATTAATGCAATACTTAAATGCAGCGATCAATTTTGAGTTCTTCTCTAGTTTATTGTTGCCTGTCGCATCTACTCCTCCCTACCAATTGTGATGAAGGCCTAATAAACAGCCCTCCTCAGGAGGTAGCTTAAATATCACCTGATAAAGAAGCTTTTAAGCTAGTAACAAATAAAGGAAAAAGTACTAATAATAAAGATTATAATCATAATAATAGTTTCATAACAAAGATATTGACTAGTATGACTGTTACAGTGTTTTAAATCTTGTCCCCTCTTTTTATTTGTCACATTTGGTAGCCATTGAATTTTTTTTATGGTTTATCAACCTTCTGGTTTAATGATCAAGTCTTACTAATTAACCCGTAGCTAGGTAGATTCATACCTTTCTCAAGGGTATTTGCATGTGAGTGAATATAACAAACCCAACAGGAATTGGAACTCAGCTCCCTGATTAACAATTCCAAATCATTATCTGTTACATCACCTGCACATCCAACCTTACAACACCTAGTTTTCCCAAGTGGTCATCCCTCTACATACTGACCAGGCTCAATGTTGCTTAACTTTAGTGATCATATGGGAACTGACTTTTCAACATGTTGTGGCCATAAACAACACTATTGTTTATCTAATACAAGTCTAAAAGCCACTCAAGGTAGAGCGTCATTGTAAGAAGTTGTTTTATTGATGTAAAAGAAATAGGAAAGAAGTGTAGATTATGAGGATATGTTGGATAAATAGTGGTTAATCCTAGACTTGAAGAGGTTAAAATTGTAGTGATCATGGAAGCATTCTCTTGGTTGTCTGTTCCACAAATCAGTGGCTCTTTGGAAGAAGCTGTCCAAATGAGTTTTCTTCTAACAAATATAAAGGGAATAAGAATGATTCACTGCTGTATATATATGGCAAGGCGTGTCTTCACAGTAAAGGACTTTTAAAGATATCTCAAATCAGTTTGTTCATCCTCCTGATAACACGTGGATTTCATATGACCTGCCTTAGGGGTTTGAACTCACAACCATCGGGTATTGCAATACACTTTAAACCAATAGCTGTTATCCTCTATATCATAGAATAATCAGTCTGTTGAATAGACAGTTGAATGAGATTTATTTATCCTTAGGGATTAAATAAAGTGTTTCATATAAAATGATCAGACAGGTACTTGAACAAAGCCAGACGTTAGAGTAGCTGAAGTATTATGACTGTCACAAGCAAGATGAGGACATTAGTCTGATGTGACTAATTTATTGGGTTGGAAAAACAGCTCATAGCATTTTCAATAACTGGCATTTGGACATGTGATTTTGTTTCACATGTGGATGAAATTTTCCTGTGCAGTTCATGTGTGGATTGTGAATTTTGTACATTAAAATTGAAAATGGAGGAAATGACATGCATTTTCATCATTTCTTGCTCTTTTATTTCCAGAAAGATAAAAATGTATAAATGGAAAAAAAAGATGTGTACCATTTATGGAAATGGTGCCATAGCTGAGAGTACTCTTTATAATTGGTTCACTAGATTCAAGAGGAAATTTTGATGTAGAAAACCAATAGCATACTGGCAGGCCTATTGTCATTGATGATAATCGAAACATTACTTAAAATAATCTAGGATCATTGATATGGGACATCAGAGATAATCTGATTTCTCATATGACCATTGAAAACACTTAGATATGAGAATTGCTATGATGTTTGGGTCTCTCCTGATTTAACTGAAAAAAAAAATAATTGAAAAAATGTAATGAGCCACATTTCTATCTGATTTTTGCTCAATGTAACTAAAAAAAAATATATTTGAAAAGACGATCACAAGTAATGAAAATTGTATTGTTTACAACAATGTGGAGCAAAACAGCTGATTGGGAAAAGGAAATGAACCACCATTAAACAGTCTAAAAACCAGTCTACATTCAAATAAAGTCATGCTGTGTATTTGGTGATATTGGAAAGGCATTGTGTATTAAGAGCTGCAAAATCAGTCATTGAATTTAGACACTCTTCACAGTTGAATCAATTAAAGGCAACAATCAATGAAAATTGTCTGGAATTGGTCAATTGAAAGGATATTGTCATCCATCAGAACAACACCAAACAAGGACATTGTTTTGCAGACCTGGCCAAAATTGATACAAATTGAATGAGATGTTTTACTACACCCACTAAACTCAACTGATCTTGCATTTTTGGATTACCACTTACTTCAATCCTTACAAAATTCTCTTAATGCGAAGGATATTACTTTCTTGGAAGTTTTTAAATAACTGCTTTTACCATTTCATCACCTGGAAACATGCAATGTTCTGAGAGGCTGGGATCCTGAAAGCATATTGGAGATGGCAGTACATGGTTGTAAAAATGGCAAACATATGGTTGAATAAATCTATGTACAAATATTTAAATATTGTCTTTGAATTTCATTTAAATCACTATGAACTTTTGTTATGATACAACATAACTAATTTATTTATTCAAACAAAAATGATCGTATATCTTTAAGTCTTTACTATAATTAAGTTATCAACAAACATAACCAAAACATTATAATTATAACACCCAAGATATGTATACAAGTCCCAATAGATCAATTTATAATTATAATTATAATTGCTCATTTCAGATATGTTTGTGCATATATATATATATATATATATATATATATATATATAATTTTTTTAGGATATTAAAATATGTTAAAAATTACTACATAATGGGAAAAATCTTTTTAACATAGGTTGTGACACGAAATTGTCTGCATATAAAAGCTAACATTGGATTTGCAACAACTCATCTGACAAAGATGTCTTTGTCAGTGGTGTTTATAGTACTGCTTTAAAAAATAGTGGTTACAAGTACACTGAAATCAGGTATAGAAAATATGATACTATTGATCTAAGGAATAGGAAAATCATTTGGTACACATCTCCATTTAACCATTTAGTCAGTACTAAGTTAGGCCAGAAGTTCCTCCATTTAATTGATAAACATTCCCTAAAAGCAACCCTCTTAGTAAAATATATAACAGAAACACACTAAAACTAAGTTATAGCTGCACTGATAATCTTGAGAACATTATAAATAAATGGAATAATAAAATTTTAAACCAATTTAAAATTTTGATACTAATACACATCTTAAGATAAATATTTTTAATAATATTTTAATAATATTAATGAATTGCAAAAATTCCAATGAGTGCCTATTATGAAATCAATGTTTAACCACCTCTCTTGTTTATCTAAGTACTATTTCTACAATAGAGAATCCAGCTGTTGAAAAATGTTATATTGGCAGTACTAGAAATTCTTTTAAGACTAGGTGGTATCAACATATTTTTCTTTCACCAATAGTACTTATAGGTACCTCCATGAGATTGGTAAAAAAAGAGCATAGCATGATGAAAAAGATGCCAAACTTGATGAAAACAAAATTTTATCGTCTAAATGCTTATGTTATTATTAAGAGGAAAGATCAAAGTTTATTTTAATTATTTTTAAAAATTTTTCCTTCGTTTTAGAACATTCTAAATTTTGATTAAAAAAAACCTTGTTTCTCTTTGTATCACTGGAACTAGTAAAATAACATATACAATTTTTAGCACGTTTTTTTTATATGACACATTAATTTGGAAAATCTTGCAAAAATAAAAATAATTGTCGGATGTTAATGAAACTTTCAGGAACTATTCATAGATGATCGAAATTATTATAAATGTTTTTTTTTTTATTGAAGTCATGGCAGAAATATTTTTTTTATATTTATTACCCCCCTAACTAATTTTATGAAAATGCTAGAAATTCGATTGCGTCAGGTTTAGTTATTACAATAGCTAAAAGTACAAGGCTTTGACAAATGCAAATCATGTTTTTTTTTTTGTTTTTAATTGAACCCCCCTCCTACCTGAAAATCAGCTCTGAATTGTAACATACAAAACTCAATAAAACAAATATATTATTTAATTTCAAATGTTTTTATTTGCTTTTATGAATATGGACAATATTTTCTGAAAGCAAAAAAATTTTTCGATGAAAAATGAATTTTTAAACAATTATTTGTTATTTCTTTAATTATAATAGATTTTTACCTTTAAGTTGTTAAAATATTATAAAATTAGTTAAAAGCCACATCGGGTTTCCTAAGTGTCCTTATGAGATAGATCTTTTTTTAGCACGTTGTAAATTGTATCATTTTGACTCATCAGAAGATCCACAGTAATTAAGAAATGCAATTTTGTGTTTATAATCAGGCTGTAATTATAAAGTATGGAAGATCAATTAGAATACAATTAAGTTGATTTATTTGAGTTAAGCATTGTTCTGTGCTGTGAAGGCCTTTACTTTTTTGAAACACGTGTGAAGTTAATTTGATTTTTCAACATCAACTGAGAAGGGTACCTACAAGTATCAGTATCATCCTATGAAATTTATATGATCTTATTTTTATATTAATCTAAGTTATGACATTTTTCCATAAATGAAATATCAAAATTAATAATAAAATGAATGGAAATACAAAAACACAGTAAAATGTAATAAATGTACATAAAATTATAGTATTTTATGTACACTTCTGATAAAATTTCATAAGAACAGTACCTATAAACTAATTAGATACCTTTCTTATGAAATATGAAATTTAATGTCACTCTTAACAGTCTTATTTTAATTTCTTTATAATATATTTTCCAGAAAGCATCATAAACATAAAGGTGAAAGCTAAGTACAAAAAAAATTAGAGCGCTGAAAGTTTTCCTTAATAATAACGAGATAAATAATTTGTTCACTTAAATGTAAATAATTTCACTTTTCTCCTTCTGTAGAACAAATTATCCTCACAGAATCCATCAATATGTCATTCATCACCTGTCAAGTGAGGCGAAAGTTTATGACCTGCTTTGTTTTATTTTCAAATTACATCTTTTCGGCACAGAAGCTAAGTTAAGCTTGGTTCAAAATATTTTAAATAAACATTCTAATTTCTGATTTTCTTAAAATAAGTTTAGAAAAAATGATAATTGATATTTCAAAAAATTTTAAACTGAGATTTTAATTTTTTTTATAAAACAAAAAAATGGTTGCCATCTGTCAATTTTGGTGACTCAAAAAACAAGATTTTTAACAAAAATTTTGGACATGCTAGGAATGATAAAAAAAAATATAAAAAAATACCCCCAAAATATATTGATCTTTCCTCTTGATAATAACATAATCATTTAAACGATAAAATTTTGTTTTCGTCAAGTTTGGCATCTTTTTCATCATGCTATCCTCTATTTTTTAGCGAGCATGTGGAGGTACCTAACTTATAAAATTAGTACATATTTTTCTAAATATTTTTTAGAATTTAAAAGCAACAAATAAAACTCCCAAGGCAAAATGAAAAATTTTAAAAAAAACTACCACATGTAGACCCTTAAATGAACTCTATTTTTGGTGCTAACATGAAAAATTAGAAATTATCAAATTTTCTGATAAAAAATCCTTATTAAACCAAAGAAGTGAATTGACTGTAAATTGTAGGCATAGCCTATTTTTTACTTTGCAATATGTTTAAACTTTGAATTTGATAACACTTTTTCTTATAGATGAACTGTTGTGCACCTTA